TCTTCATTTTTTTCATCATCTTTTCCTTCGCCTTCTCCTTCACCTTCTCCCTGYAAATGAAATAAAATACAGTTCATGAGTTTATAATACTATATTTTAGAAATACATGTAGATGGTAGCGGGGAGAGGAGATTATATTTCAAGGATCAGTTTCATGAGGAATAGCACTATATCCACAGGATAAATTCTTATGCAGTAGATAAAATCCAAACAACAACATTTACATAATTTGGATAGGTTTATCCATTGTAAAACTAGCTGTATCCAGCTGAAATAAAAACTGTTTTGTTTCTGGTCTAAGCAGGCTATTATACTACTTAGTTTCTATCTCTTTTGCCATTTTTMCTAGGTGGGTCTCAACCTAATCCTAACACTACTATAAAGGGACTATTATAAGTGAGTAGCCCCCCTTCCACTCCCTTCTATATATGTACAAATTTTGTTTTGATCTATTACCTCTTCTTCTTCCTCCTCTTCTTCTTCTTCACCTTCTCTGTATTCCACTTCAGCAATATAGTAATTACTTTCAATACCAAATAGTTTTCCTATGTACAAAATAAAAATGAATGACATACTACATGTACAGGTACTTTATTGTTATATTATTGGGGAACTGAATTGGTGACTAGCCCTAAACAAATTCACTAGATCTTGGTTATTTTGTGCTTATTGCAGGTGATTAAGCTTAGTTTGACAAGTTGTATTGTAAAATGCAAACAGCTCCTAACATCAGTTATTGTCATTATCATCCCAAGAAATAGAATATTACAGTATGGTAAACATGCAACATACCCCAAAACCTGACTGTTTGAAGAGGCTTTGTATCAACTAACTCCTTCAGGGCTAAGAACACTCTAAACATCTCCTCTCTGCTTAAACCAATACCAGCTTGCTCAAAGTAATAATTCAAATTCATAAGATCTGGTAATGGGGTTTCTATGTCTTCTTCATTTTCTGGCTCACCACCCTCTCCATCACCCTCTTTCTGTAAATAAATAAATATGTYTTGCAATTAAAACTCAACAGTGGTTTAATCTAATTTCTGTGAAAAGGAATAATGAGTTTACCTCAAATAGCTTTTGCTGCATTTCAGCATTCTTTTTGTCTTTTTCATTGGCACTTTCATCCTACAAGATACAATTCTAAAATGAATATTTTATTCATTTCATAGCAGAGACCTTTCTTGTATATTTTACCTCTACTTTTTCTTGATCTCCTTTCTTAGCTAAATAGCTGAAGTCTTCAAATACATCTGCATAAAATATCAAGCAAAAATTAGGTAATTCTTTCTTTGCAAATTGAGTTTTTTGTTAATCTTACAATGTAAGTAGAGTTAAGCTTAAGTTACTAGTTTAGAAAGTTTATCTTACGTAAAGACAKCTGATACACAAACAAAATCAAAACCATGAGAACTCACCAATGCAATTTTCTGGTCTTTCATCTAAAATTTTACCAAGTACATCGCTAAGATGATCATATCTAGATCGAATAAKAAGAAAAAATGATTATGCCATGATAAAGTGTCGAATCGAGAACTACAAGTTTGCTTACAAATTCTTGTTGGAAACAGTGCTTTGTTTCATGAGATAAGCTTTAACGTTTTTAACTTCTTCYTCCATATCAGTTTTTCTGTTAAATAGATTCGAATTAAGTCCTCTTTTTGCGCTATATTACGATAAGTTTAGAGAAACTACTGTCATTACACAAACATGGCCGAATATCGCCGAATCTGTTTTGTRAGAACTGTTGCTGTGGCAACAAGGCCAGCCTCTAAAGTCTAAATTGGGGTTCCTGTGCCAGCYTATTGGGGTTCCTGTGGTGTCTGATTTGAAGTAGCAGGAAAAAAAAACGAAGAAAATAATGAAAAAATGATAAAAATTCATTAAAAGACTCGCTGTAGTTGAAAAGATGATATGCGAAAGTGAAGTAAACCGCTTACAGTTTTTTTTTGAAATACACGTTTTGCGTGACTTCAATAAAGCGATTCTGGTCATGCAAATAGCGTGACTCAGCGAAAACTGTCATCAACTTGAGTCACTTGAAAATGGCGGCGAGATCGAAAGAGGTCCTTGTTATTACGGGTGTGTCGGGAGGACTAGGGTATCAGATGCTGAAATGGTTCATCAGTAACGGCCATACTGTAATCGGTTGCGCTCGATCSGCGTCAAAAGTCGCTGAGCTGAACGAGAAGTAYTGCAATGGAAAGCCCAAGCAGTTCTTTGCTGTTGATATTACTGACGAGGTAGCAGTCAAGAACTGGGCTACTGAAGCAGTCAGTAACTTTGGTGCWCCAGGTTATGTACTCAACAACGCAGGCCTAAACAAYAAAGCYGTGCCCTTCTGGGAGSTGACATCGAAGGACTTTGACAAYGTGGTGGACATCAACATCAAAGGATCTGCATATGTTGTAAGACACTTTCTCCCTGCCATGATRAAAGCAAAGCGTGGCGTAATTGTCAACTTTTCGTCCGGTTTCGGACGCGCGGCGGTTCCYAATGAGACTGCCTACTGCGCTACCAAGTGGGGTATAGARGGGTTTTCCAAATCCTTGGCACTAGAGCTGCCAACGCCTATGGTTTGTGTTCCTCTTGATCCTGGTGGTATGATYAACACCCCTATGCTACAAGATACATTTGGTAAGGGAACTGCTTCTAATCAGCAAAATCCTGAAGAATGGGCTTCAAGGGCGTGTCCTTTCATCTTATCTCTTGATAGAAGGTCCAATGGGAAAAGTGTCACGGTTCCTTAAAAGCACACACTACACAACCTATATAGAAAYTTGCGTTTGAGATGTAATTTGTATGGCTATTTTCTAAAGTATTTGTAAGGATAGTGTATGACCAAATAAAATGATTCTAAATGATTTCACTGACATCGTAAAGTTTGCTCCCTTCCCTTCCTCTTCCAGTTMCTATTCTRTTTTTACTAGTTACCATACCCCRCGCATACTTTTCGTTCGCGCAAAAACAAAATGGCGTMTAAATCGGTAAAGGRTGTTATTGTGATTACCGGGGTTTCTTCCGGTCTTGGCTTGGCAATGACTGACTGGTTTCAATCAAAAGGATATATTGTAGTTGGATGTTCGCGCTCAAGTGATGCGATTGATGAACTTAATAAGAAATTTTGCTCAAATAACGAGCAGTTCTGCACCGTCGACATCGCAAGTGATACACAAGTGGAAGCCTGGGCTAGCAGGGTTGTTGCTTCCTTTGGTCCTCCAAATTTTCTCCTGAACAATGCAGGAACAATGAACCAGCGGGCCAACCTGTGGAGTGTTCCAGTAGAAGAATTTGACAAAGTGGTTGATGTAAACATTAAAGGCACTACTAATGTTTTACGTCATTTTGTTCCAAGAATGATYGAGGCAAAGAAGGGCATYATTGTSAATTTCACATCAGGTTGGGGGCGTTCTGTATCACCCSATGTGGCCCCTTATTGTGCTACTAAGTATGCTCTAGAAGGACTATCGAAGGCCCTAGCGATGGAGCTTCCAGCCCCCTTGGCATGTATCCCCCTTAATCCAGGAATAATCAATACTCCTTTGCTTCATATAGGCTTTGGACCCAGAGCGGACATGTTTCCTAGTCCTGAGGAATGGGTACAAACTGCAGGCCCTTACATCTTGTCATTGACTCGCAGTCATAATGGCAAAAGTCTTGAACCCTCTTAATCTTAATGGCTAGGGGTAGTATGAATTAAGGTGGATGACATCATCCACCCATTGATTTGGTGTGGATTTATATACTTCAAAGATTTATCTGGGGCAGGTTGTATGATGGTAAATAGAAGTACCTACCCAATAAATCCTTATCCAGGAAAAATCCATACAAAATTTATGGTTTGGATGATTTATCCACCCTTTGTTCAAGCAGTCCCTGGTAGTGATTATAACCATTTGTACAATAGACCAATCCCGCATTAGCTTGGATGAACACGAAAAAATGGCTTCATTCCGAGGCTGGAGTTTTATCTTTTGTCGAAAACTCCAGCCTCGAAATGAAGCCATTGTTCCATGTTCATGCAAACGAATTCGGAATTGGTCTATTGGCTCAGAGCTTGAAATGTATCCACCGATTGAGAGCAATAAGATTCTGGATAAGGTTTGGTTTGGTTCTGGATAAAATTTAAGGTTTGGATAATATAATCCACCCTTCGTTCAAGCAGTCCCTGGTAGTGATTATAACCATTTGTACAATAGACCAATCCCGCATTAGCTTGGATGAACATGAAACAATGGCTTCATTCCGAGGTTGGAGTTTTATCTTTTATCGAAAACTCCAGCAAATTCAGGATTGGTCTATTGGCTCAGAGCTTGAAATGTATCCACCAATTGAGAGCCGCAATAAGATTCTGGAAAAGGAAATACTATCCAGTTTAGTCTCTATGATCCAATTCATGCTCTTTGCATTAGATTCAAGTGACATTTTGGTAATATAGACAGACATTTTGGGTACATTTTCRAGCATGAATAAGCTGCCATAGATGAGGTCCTTGCATTCTCAAAAATGTCAGTTATAGCCTTTTCACATTGTAGATGTTATATAAGACAAAAAATATTCACATGACTTCTGGATTGACAAGAAGATCACTTGCAAAAKCACTCTATTTTTTCTCCTGTCCATGGTCTAATAAATAAAAATGCACAGTATGGTGTTATATTTTTGATAAGCATTCATTGTTCATCCAGGAAATCTGTGTCATACTCCCCCCCCTCTTCCCCACCCCTCTATGATTAGGATCACATCTAATAGGGTCAGTATCATTGCTGAATCATCAAAGATCGAACTTTATTGCATAAAATGGATGGGAAGATACAATTAGTGGGGAGGGGGGGTCAGGGATCAGTTGGGATCAGAGAAGTCTCATGACTATTCTTGTGTCTGCAAATCTTCATGTGAAAAAAGGAGAAGTAAGGGAGGCATCATTTCTCTTCCTCCCCTTGATATCAGGGATCACCATATGAACCAGTCTGGGCACGAGAATGYATATGACTCTAAGAAACGTTGTATGATTTGCTCAGATTCTCTTTGGTGTTTCATGTCCCATCTTGTGCTCATCTGAAGGACTATGCTCATACTCGTAGTCAATGTGAACAAATGCTCTTTCAACTTGTGGAAATTTCTCCAGTTTCTGCTGCAAGGGTTCACCAATATCATGAGCTTCTTGCAGAGTCATTGTAGGTGGAAGGACTATGTGGGCTTCAACAAGCAAGTTATTACCAAAATGATAAGCTCTCAGAGTATCAATAAACTGAATCCGTTGATCATGGTGCATGCATACAAGTATTAGACGTTGAAGAAGTTCTGGCTGTGCCGTATGACCTGTCAAACTGCGAACATGATCTGAACCAGTTCTCCACCAGCTAAATGCTATATACAAACTAATAACAATRGCACCAATRGGATCTGCATTATTCCAGACTTTGTATCCTAAATAGCCAAAACCCAGAGCAAAGGCATTAGAAAGAACATCATTTCCATGGTCTTGTGATAGTGCTCTTGCAGAAGAGGAATGGACTCKTCGGCAGTATAAAAACAACAGGAATTTTGTTACAATGGTGGTTCCAATGATAACAAGAGTTGGGATTTTAATCTCAGGATCAGCAGAGTTRCTAACAATGGTTGTAATTGAGTTGATTATGAGTTGTATCGATGCTACTGTCATTACCACGGATAGAATAATAACGGCAACTGGTTCCARCCTTGTCTTACCAACAGGATATTCATAAAAGTTAGTGCCTTTGATGGATCTATTGGTGTACCAGAAAAGAAGGGAAGAAACCAGATCCATGGCGCTGTCAACCAAACTAGAGATAATCGACAGTGATCCAGARAGGTAAGATGCAACTGACTTGCCAATAACAAGAAGAATATTACAAAACAGACTGAGCAAAACAACYCTCATAACAGACTCTTTATGTTTCTCATCTTGATCTTCCACATCATCATCGTCATCATCGGCCATACTCTCATCAAATGCATTTACAAGTTGTTGCTGTTGTTTGTAGTACCGACGGACATTTCTYGGCATTTTTTTATCCAGCATTTCTGTTTCAAKGACTTTCTTTACATGTAAAAAGGGTATTCTACTACATGACAGCGTTTTAAGTGCACTTTTGKTTGAAATTTTATCACAATCTGGCGCAATTTCTTCCAGTGTGATCCGTGATGGACATCTTGAAAGAGAWTCGTCAACATTGTCTCTTGAATTGTTTTTTGAAGACTCTAATGGTGAATCGTTGCCCTTRATAGTTATTTCTGCCATTAGAGAAGTGCTTGGATGCCCAAAATCATCTTCCCTCTCCATGGTAAATACTATAAGGCAATTCACAAATCTGAAGATGACTGATTATTCTGAAAGAGAAAAGTTCAATATGCTTATAAAATTAATGAAATAAATGAACTTGTTCCATCTTAAATAAAGCCACTTCAGCAATATTTTGTGATGTTTGATGATTGTACAACAATAATTTMATTTAATACTGTTTGCATAGCAGTGTGTTACATCAGGAATTTCTATCTAATTTCCGTCTGTGAAATTAGATAGAAATTCCGGATGTAACACAGGCTATGTTTGCATGGCCATAACAAGGAACTTGTCACTGTCAAAACCTTGTTTTCCATTCAGTTTTAGATCACTTATAAGATTAAAAAAGAAAAAAAAAGGAATTTGAGAAAGTTGCCTCCTCGGGATCAATGTAATGATCATGTATTTTAATACTAATCAATAATTCATAATTGTTTGTAGATTCTATTGTCTGATATTCGTATTTATAATAATTATTAAATGTGGTCGAGACAGCACGCTATTATCTTACTAAAGCTTATTCAAAAATAATATATCTGCGTTGGAAATGTCTTACAACGTCGGTCTATATTTTCTCCCTTTTTAACTCCACACCCGATATAGTCGTTTTGCGACTTTTGAACAAATACAACTGCCCATCAACTCTTACCTTTCCAAAAGAAAACAGTAGCCTGTTCAGAATTAAAAAAGCGGCGTCAAAAATCAACAAATCAGCCCTTTATAGTGCCCTTTTATCAGTGCCCTTTTATCAGTGCCGTGATTCGATTTAGCGAAGGTCATCAACAAATATTCCTAGTGGGGGAGGGCAAGGGTCATTAAAATAATTACTTCAACCAACAGGAAACCCGGTTGGTCCAAAAAATGGAATATTTTCATAAGAGATTAAATTTCAACATTAATGTTCCATGCTTCTTTGATTTTATTTTGTCGAAAAACGATTTTTTTTGGCATCCTCCCATTACCGTTCCCTTGTCCCTCCCCCACCCCCTACAGAAATCCTTACAATCGTCTCCAGTCTTCCTTGACCCAGGCTTCTTCTTGTAGACTCAGACTGAGCACTGTTCAATGGCGAAAAGATAGAACAAGAATCATCACTTTGAGTTTTACGTGCTCCTCTATGATTATATCATAGAAATGTTGATCTGTCCCATTAGATAACACGTTAGGGGAATAGTTTATTAATTTTCTCTGAGATCAAAACCCGACTGGAAGAGCAATGCTTCTTACAACATGGACGCCAAACAACAGCTCATATCGTTTTATGGTARGGTTTGAAGCTTTGATTTAAATTGTATGAGTAATAAACTCTTTCTTAAGGATCTAGATTAGYAACATGTCTACAAAATATCTTAAAAATACAGTGATTTCCTCTAATTGTCGCGATTGAAGTCATTATTTATTTTTGACAGGAATGTGGTATCAGATAGTTTTATGGTGCCTGGCTGCTTCAGTGTTTATCCACTGTATAGCTGCTTGTGTGGCTTGTAGAGCACTTCGTAGGCATCCAAGAGGAAGATTTTTCCCTCTAGTTATAATATTTATTGGTTTTTTATACCCAATCACTGGAGGAGTTGTTACAAGTAAGTTTTAGATGATTCAAWTTAACTTGCTTTCATGTAACCCTTCTCTAGTTCAATAGGTTAACTTGAGTAAATTAGATTCAAGCTAGTACAGTTCAATAATGAAAGTGATTGTAAATTACTGTCAAGGTATGCTTTCATTGACACACTAGTTACCATCTTTCACTATTATGACATGTTTAGACKACCAGTCTCTCTTCCTTGCTCCTACATTTTTCCCTCAATCAAAAAACTAGTAGTGAAAAAATACAATTGTATTATTTGCTAAAACACTTGAATTTCGAGATGGTGTGGGTTGCTTTTATGAGTAGATCACTTGTTGTATTTCTGGAATAATTGAGAGGTTAATTAAAGTTCATTAAATATTTTATTCTTTTCTTATCRGCATCTCATTATCATAATTGTTGCTTAAGGAATATTAATTGTTTCATAATTTATGTTTRCAGGTGCAACTATAGCAGCTGTTTATAGGGCAGCAAAGTTTCCAATGACACTTTATTCGGCTTTTTTATGGGGAGCAGGACAATCATTTATTGGATTCTTGATATCATATTCAAGAATACTTGCAACATTATGATACAGATATACCAATATCATTGGACAGTTAACTTCAYGATGTGATATATGACATCATGAGAAGTGGAATTCAACTGAAGTTTAAATTTATACTTATAAAAAGACTGATTAATGTGATTTATCRATGAAAATAATCAAAGAACAAAGAAAGCTGGATTTCTTAATTATGACAATAAATTCAAATGGAGTACCATTGCAAACCAAGAGAATGAACCATTGCAATAATATCTATTGCATTTTAAATGTCATTCAACAAAATAATCTTGTGACAGCAATGTTGTGTGATGCAGTATTCACRTTGCCCTAGCAAGATTCGCTCAATAAATGAATGCAATGAAACTTACTCTGGGACAAAGAGATYAATATTAACTTTTACTACAGTTAATTGTGATGACAAGATGCAAGTTACACATGGATACAATGAGCAGATTATTTTAGAAGAAATGCTCTACTGATAGGATTCCATAAGCAAGCATATTATCAAAACAAACTGCAATTTCCATGCACATCMTTGTCTTGGTCATAACGAACAGAGCATTGAACAAGAAGTATGCTGGTGACAGAGCTTCAATTAATACCGAATGTGTTATACTGTCTTATTCACAATGTGGAGTCAAGCATCTACTTTCTAATTATTTAAAAGTACAAAAGTGAACATGAATTAATCAAATCTGCTTATTAGTGAAGAACAATCAGTAATTATGGTTATTATTGCAAAAAAAATAAGTAAATGTAGTGGATACAAAAAATGTTGATGTTTGGCAATGAAATTTGTCACATACTGCAATGTTTCTCGACAGGTGGCTAAACTRAGAAACAKTGAGGATTCATGTTGTAGTTGACAATGCAKTATCACTGTATTCTGGTTAAGCCAGGACTTCATGCTCAAAAGAGCATACCATAAAATTTAGAGTTGCATAATTCCACCTAGTCATACTAGTCATAACTCAGTCCTCCATTCCTTGATCTGTATGTATTGGAAGGCAAAGCAAAAGATAATGATATTTGAACTGAAATAATTGCCAAAATAAAATGGTTATTTGAATAGGCAATGTGCAGGGACCCCATTTTCAGCAACAAAACATGAAATAGTCCTCACACTTAGTTATGTGTGATAAAACAGTCTAACTAGGCCATATTTTCGAAAACAATAGAAGTGACTGTGATCTTTCTACAAAATAAAACAGTAAAACAGACAAATATAATTCCCTTAATCTTTTGTACTACAAAMTGGACTCTCTGCTTATTGCCTATCCTGTGGTAGCTGTTAAAAGAGTTGTATGAGTTCACCAAAGCCATTGTCAATTCACCTCATTTCTAGTGAGGAAACACAATCAGATAGCAAAAAATGTGAACTAAAAATGATTTTAGATGCATGTAGATACTTTCTGCTAGTGAGAGGAAGGCAGCAGTCGATCCATTGGCTACGGGAGACCCTAGTCACTAGCAGCGAAGTGTAAATGTTCAAGTGAAAACTTTTCTAAATATAGCCATTGTAAATCTTTGTTAAAATTTCTTATAAAAATTGATTCATGGATTAACCTTTTGTACATAGTAAGTTCAGCACTAAACTAATGATGATAATAAAAATATGTAAAAATGCAAGATTTTGTCGTAGTTTTACTGGACTGCATGTAATGAAAAAAATTGGTACTTCATCCTTGAAGGCTTAAATGAAAACCAGTTTACATAATGGACAGACAGACAAACAGAGTTTCAAAAAAGCTCTTTTTGGAATGATTGAATGACTACCATTGAAATGCCAGAAACTCGGTTTACACACCAATTTGTCAAAGACATCAATATGACGCAATTTCAATGTATCATTGAGAAGTTATGGATTGATTTTTGGAAAAAGCCCAAGCAAAATTTCATGAAAGTCATCAGCATTATTGGYGGTCAAATTTCTTTTCTAATTTGAAATGGGACAAGTCGCGAGAATCCTGCCCTCCCTCCCTCCCTCCCTAAGTTCACATCTGTTCATTTTCATGACAGATGTTTGGGYTTTGATTGGCGTTGTCAATCTGAGACTACTAGTGGAATTTGTTGATAACTCGATCCATAGCGGTCGTCTGGATCAGGCATATTATTATCAATGATTTCGTCRCCGTACATGTCGACTGATCTTCTGTGTAAGTCAGCCCTAACCAGGGGAAGGAGACCAACTCCCAGCAACAACGCACCGCTCAGGACAAGATTTCCAACAACAGCTCCTGCCTTCTCCACAAGACTACCAATCAAGACAATGAAAAAGATTCCAAAGCACTGGGCAGATGCGTTGAGTATTCCTGCAGATGTCCCCTCAGGTACAGGGTAAGTAATTTCTGCAGCAAATTCAAACCCCAGGGGGAGGAAGGWAGTGGAGCAAAACCCAAGCACAGCAAGAACCAGGAAAAGTCCATAGATGCTTTGCGCAAATTCCAACGTTATTGTGAATGCTACCATTGCCAGGAAGGCTGTGGCGAGAAGGAAGATAGTGCCACGTTTGTACGCCAGGGTTCTGTCCAGCCATATTCCAGCAAGAACAGTGGTGGGCAGACCAGAAATCACAAAGACAAAGCCAAGAAGACCAATGAGAACATCTTGGTTTGGAAACTTTTGGGAYGTCATCTGGTTTAGCAGTGTTGCCACTGAAGACATAAGGAAATGATACAATATCATTATCAAATATACTTATACGTTCTATTCGATTTTATACATATACATGTTATAGCTGAGAGCTGAAACAGTACGAAGCAACCAAGTTCCTGAGAAAATTGCAGTGTAACAGTGTTTTGGGCTTGTATGTACAAAACGATGAAAACGAATTAATTCACGAACATGCCATTATCCATATCTATATCAATCACTTTTTCATTTTCAAAACGCCTCAAGAAATATCTACATATTTCAAAAGATAAAAGACCAAGGACCAAATTTCGACACTTCCAGGGAGTTTTCTATKCTTTTGCGATGTATGATTTTACTTTTATTACCAGTGATAAACAAAAACCGTTAATGAGGTTTTCAATCTTACAAAAGTTTCCAAATTTAAATTATTAAAATGCCAGATATGGAAACTACGTCTTAATCTTTTCAAAATACTCTTGCKTTCACTGTGAAGTCGGTCGCATGACATCTTCAGACTTTGAGATATCAAGAGCCATATTATTTTTTAGTTTTAATTAAGGATTTTGCGTAAATACTCAGCCGTTTATCTTTTAAMAAGATTCTGAGATTTACGTATACACAAATGATTTGGCCCTATATGCGGGACATCTGTCATTAAGAAATAATGAGCGCAACAGAAAGCATARACGATATCTTTGCTTTTAAACTTAGTAAAAAAATGTGAACTCTTCGTGTAATATAGATTAACTAACAAAAAATAGTTATACGCCTAGAAAAAATAAACGTTGAAGAGCAGTAAATTTGAATGTATGCATAGTTACCGACAAGTACATGGGAATTCGCAAGAAAGAATAAAAAAAATMTTTCAAATGAAAAAATACCTGAATATTGTGCACCAGCATAGATCCCGTAAGCAATCAACAAAAACACGTACGAAGAATTCCCAAACAAACGACGAAAMGACTCCTTAAAAGACATCCTGAAGCTCTTCCTTCTCTCTTGCAACACTGCCTGGGATTGACTTGGAGGCACAGGCGGCGCATCCTCAAATGCGATYAGTATTGCAGCTCCTATGAGACTGCACAGAATTGCGATCCCGGCGTAGAGCATTTGAAATCCGTTGTGCACTTCAGAGGGTTCCTTCGAGCGCGGAATGAGAAATGGGACGGCAGCAAARTAAAGGGCGACACCAACTTGACTAGCAAACACCCCGAGCGCTGTTGCGGTACTGCGTTCGTCTTGACCAAACCAAACAGCAGCGAGTCGAGGYGGAACACCAAGGATGAAACACTGTGCTACTGCAGTCACGGTCTGGCCAGCAACCACCCAGTTAAAACCACCTTTCGCGCTTGTGCCACAGAGCTTCAGCCATGCACCCAGKACGTTGAAACCAGCTCCAAAGAAGGTATTGGCTTTGAGACCATATCGATCAAGAATCCATGAAGCGGGMACGATAAATAGAATATAGACGGCCATGAAAACCATKGAAAGACARTTAACACCAAAGGAGGACACGCCATAGTATGACTGGACAATATCGCTGATTGATGCAAACATGAGCCACTGACCCGAGTTGGTCATTGAAAGAAGGCAAAAWACGGCTAGCATCATCCATCGTCGCTTGTAAAGCTCTGTCTGGTAGTAMCCAGGTCCAAACATCGTCTTATATAAACCACGTTTTTTTTTTTGGAAGTTTAAAGGGGTCTTTAAAGGTTTCAAATGGTCAGGTTATTTATAATCTTACTTTTTCGCATTTTGTGCTTTGAACCGCCAAAAAAACAGATGTTTTCAGAAGTACATCTGTTATGCTTGTTTCTCGCGATGATTTAAGATAAGATTTATCDAATCCCACAAAACTCGTGGGAGGTGATTTTGTTCCCGAAACACTATATTCAGGAATTCTCCATAAAACAATCAGACGTCGTGCGATTGAACTTATATCTAACATTAATATGATATAATTATTAATATGATATTATAATACGCTCTATACCGTATTTTTCAAATTTCTCAAACTGACTCTCGCACCTTAAATTCTAAATTCCTTCCAAGTAATGAAACACTAATTTCTAAACGATGCCTAGTGCAGAAAAATGAAAAATGCTGCGTACAATGCCTTTTTTAACATTCCCATTCCCATTAACGGTATAGCGTGGGTTTCACACTAACAACGAAAGTGCAGATTCGCAATATTGTATAACATTCGAGCGGGCCACCTGTGTTTTTTGTGGGATCCCTTATTTTCAAGGATGRGAGGGACTAGGACAAATTTATAATGGCCGACATGTTTTTCTCTGCAAATTCTGTAAGTTTTAGCCATTTTAAAAGCACTAAAAGATGGAAAAAAAATCTAAAATACTTCCTTATAGGGTAAGATCACCATTGTAAGTCAGCAAAAGTTTGACAAACAAATCCGAACCGGCCCATCCCATTGTTTGATAGGCGCTTGGACTGGAATTTTGAGTCAATTTGCTGACATAATGAATAAATGTATCTTACATTAATAAATTAAATAGTAAGTCTACAACTAATAGTAGTAGTCTTTATGTACTTAAGATGTATTTAAATTCCGCTCAAATTACACTATAATAGTGATGTTTTGTGTTATAATGACTACTATGAATAATACTACCTTGATGAGTACATATAATAAGTCAGCCATACTAATACTCCACTATGACTAATAGTTTTTATGTCTTCGTGAGATATTACTTCAGTATCCTTTATCTGTGTTGGTTGAGTTGAGAATTTAAATGGCAAGCAAACCTCTACCCCATGTGGAACAAACAGCATGGCCATCACTCAGAACTGCTATGTAGTTGAAGGGCTTCCTTTGTTCATTTGTTCTCCCAATATAACGACCGTCCAATGTAAACTTGTAGATCATCTTATCGTTACACACCAGTAGATTACCATCGCTGTCAATGGACAAACCTCGGGGTTCCTTTAACTGACCAGCACTACAGTCCTTGCCACCAATGGTCATAATTGTATTTGATAGGCGTTTGTTCTTCATTTCAATGACATAAACCCCTGGTGATGGATACAAGCAACTGACATAAAACAGACCTTTGTGTGTAATTATGTCATAAGGTTTCCCATTTCCCGGCAACCTGTACTGATATAGATAATCACCATCCTTAGTGAACACCAGTATACGATGATTACCAAGGTCACATACAAAGATNGGAAGCACTGTAACAACTTGGGTTCGTACATCGTCTCATTGCATAGCAAACACTGGACCTGGTTCTTAAGATCGTCCAAGAATGACTCCATTTTATGGCAGATAACTTTGCGAAGAAAAAGCTTAGCGAACTTAGTGTTTCTCGTCTTTCCGGGAAAAGCAAGTAATAACTGTGTGAATCGTTTCCGGGAACTGTCTATGAACTCTGGAATCATCGCGTGACTAATTCCTAGCTATCGTGACATATGAATATGTTCGTGACATGACAATTTCACGTAAACTATATTGTTATTTTGGACAATTTCCGAACTCTGATAACTCTAATACTCTTAACTCGAAAAGTTTAATATGGCTGATTGGTCCTGGGATTTTTGCTGTTTCATATTGTTTATGATCAATGCATTATTACAGTGAGGTCAAAGCTAACGTCTGTGCTTATTTTAAATGATTACTAAAACAATCATAAAACCTAGTACACTTTGTTGAAATAGCTTAATTTTTCGTTAACAATGAAGAAAGTGTTTTTTTTTTTGCGAAATTGAATACTAGGGGAATTTAGTTAGGGCATGCCACATGTGGAGTTACAAAAACATTTCATTTTAATTTAAGTTTTCCAAAACAGCATGGTATTATTGATTTCAGCACTAAATGTAATCTTTCCACGATTAATCATTCATGCTAAGGCAGGATTTTGATTAATTCTAAGAATTTCGAATTGAATGTCGACATCAATAATATAAGCCGCGCGCATAGAACGATGCTCAAGAATTCTTGTCTGATTCAATAAGCTTAAATCCTTTATGGAACTAGTAAATACGTGCTTATAGGTGATGGACGTACATGAACACACTAGATTACCTTGTGGTAAGTTCTGCATTCTTGCAGTTGGCATAGGAAAATGTTACACTAAGTTTCTTTGCATCTTTTACATCTTTTTTTAGCTTTTTTAGAAATACTATACTACATTATTTTTTTCTGAATTGTTATTTCGGTGTTTTCTGGTCAGAGGGTCTGAGTGATGAACAGTCAAATCGTCTCCACAAGAATCCTTCCTTGTCAACTTTCTCATTTCTTCATAGTGTTTGACATCAGTTTTGTGTAATCATACTTCAGTAATAGACTAAACGTTACTACCACACTTCTATAATACTTTAATTGTAAGTTTTATTATGCCCTGTGTGGACCTCACTGGTAAACTCGTAGATATAACTCATTGAAAATACAGTCGTAGCCAATAAGGGGAAGCACGTGCTTAACACGCCTTTCCGTTACTAAGATAAGATGTAAATTTGATTCAGAAGAACGCCACGGTCCAAAATTACCAGCCAATCTTGGGTTTGAGGGTACGGGCTTCTAGACTGGCGCACCTAAAGTGCTGGCTACAACTAATTTACAATGTTGTGACCGATTGCTTTTTTCCCGCCATTTTTAATTTTTCATTCTTTTATTAAATGATTCGTTTATAGGATAATAATTAAACTTTTTTTGTGTTTAAAAACTTGAATTTAGAGTGCCAAATTCGTTCTACAGGCCCCTTCCCGTCAAACACTCGACTAAGGCACTAAAAAGAGTCCACAGAATTATGTTTAATTTAGACTAATTCAACTCCTTAATTGCATTTCCGAAAGAATAATGAATGGAAAAAATACATATCATAGACCAAAAAAATACATCAACAATAACTTTCATATTACGCGTGCTCTGATTGTCCAAAAAGCCGTGTTTGATGAGAGCATAATACACGCTCGCGTCATTTTTTTCTCGGCTTTTTTTCTCATGAATATTTGAGCGCTTGTTATTTTTTAAAAGCAATAAAAACAGTTTTCCGTGTATTATACTTCGCGTCATGGTTCCTACGCTTCTCTCGTGTTCTCCATACTTCCCGCGTGTTTTTATCATTTTTATTCCTTAAATAATTTATGACCTCGTAGTCAAACGGGGCGTTGACTTTTGATTCACATGAAGTATTCCGATAACGCTAAAATTACACTATAATAGTGTTATTTGGTGTTATAATGATTACTTATGAACAAAATAAAATGAATACTACATTGATGAGTATATATAATAAGTCTACCACACTAATATTCCACTATGACTAATAGTTTTTATGTCTTCATGAGATATTACTTCAGTGTCCTTTATCTGTGTTGGTTGAGTTGAGAATTTAAATGGCAAACAAACCGCCACCAAATGTGGAACAAATAGCATGGCCATCACTCAGAGCTGCTATGAAGTCGAAGGTATTGCTTTGTTCATTTGTTCTCCCAATATAACGACCGTCCAATGTAAACTTGTAGATCATCTTACCGTTACACACCAGTAGACTACCATCGCTGTCAATGGACAAACCTCGGGGTTCCTTTAACTGACCAGCACTACAGTCCTTGCCACCAATGGTCATAATTGTGTTTGATAGGCGTTTGTTCTTCATTTCAATGACATAAACCCCTTGTGATGAAACCAAGCAACTGACATAAAACAGACCTTTGTGTGTAATTATGTCATAAGGG